GCTTAAAAATCTTAAGCAACAGACTTTTTGTTTGGTCAAACACACTGATGTTGTTGATTGTAAAGGAGAAGTGCACATATAGAGCTGCTAGATGTTCCTGAAGGCTCAGATGAACAAAGCTGAAGACTTTCCCCCGATGCAAGCCCAACTCCTCTCTGAAGATCTGAGTGCACAATCCTGAATACACTGATGCTTCTGTCACATCAATGCCACACTCTCTCAGGTCTTCATCATAGAAGATCAGGTTGCCTTTCACAAGCTGCTGGAAAGCCAGTTTCCCCAGTTTAAGGATCGTGTCTTCATCTGTCACCTTCTTCTCATAGTACTTCTGATGTTTGATGTTGCTCTGAATTATCAGGAAGTGTGTGTACATTTGAGTGAGAGTCTTGGGAATCTCTCCACTCTCTGCTCGACTCAACATCTTCTCTAGAACAGCGGCTGAGATCCAGCAGAACACTGGGATGTGGCACATTATGAAGAGGCTCCTGTTTGACTTCAGGTGTGAGATGATCCTGTTGGCCAGACTCTGATCACTGATTCTCTTCCTGAAGTATTCCTCCTTCTGTGGCTCATTGAAGCCTCGTACCTCTGTCACTCGATGGACACACTCAGAGGGGACGAGATCAGCTGCTGCTGGTCTGGAGGTGATCCAGATGAGAGCAGAGGGAAGCAGATTCCCCACAATCAGGTTCGTCAGCAGCACATCCACTGAGGCTGATTTAGATATTTTACAAAGTCTCACATTGCTCTTAAAGTACAGAGGCAGACGACACTCATCCAGACCATCAAAGATGAACAATACTTTATTTTCCTCAATGGATATTTCCTTTTCTTTTGTTTTGGAAAAAAAGAAATGAAGAAGACCTGAAAGACTGAGTTTTTTGTCCTTCATCAAATTGAGCTCTCTGAAAGGAAGTGGAAATATGAGCTGGACGTCCTGATTCTCTTTCTCTTCAGCACAGTCCAGGATGAATTTCTGCACGATCTCATTCAGCAGTGTTGGGTTTCTCTGCATCGCTGTTCCCTCATACAGACACCCAAACTTCTTTATCAGATTTGATTTAAATGTGTTGAGAACTTCATGGCTGTAAAATAAAAAAAATAACATTATTACATGAGTGCAATAATAAGCACAATGTCTTATATATTCTGTATCATATCCTTACAAACAAAAACAGACATGCTATACCTGAGACCAGGCCGTGCATCTCCACTCAAACTTATTGATTGATCCATAGATGTGTGTCTTTTCATAGACACACTGCTGGACTCTGGTTCTGATCTCTTTTGCTGCACTGAGCTAAAACAGAGAGAAAATAAAGTTATTTCTTTAAAGGTGACATATCATGAAAATCTGACTTTTCCAGGTTTTAAGTGCTATAATCAGGTCCCTGGTGCATCTACCAACCAAGGAAACGTGAAAAAGATTAACCCAGTAACTGTTTTGGTAAGCCTTTTTCTGCAAGCGTCTGAGAAATCGAGCGCGTCAGATTTCGCTCCCTTAGTGACGCGGCAAAGGGATCTCTTTATAATATTACCACCCCTTAATCTGTAAGTTTCCACCCACGGTGCCGTCATTTTGATTTCACAAGCGACAACAGTGTACCAGTTCTAACGCCATGGCGAAAGTTTGAGCAAAACATGCTAACTGTTCTGTCTTTGGCTGCACAGACGAGCACAGAACACTGTTTAGAGTCCCAGCCTCAGAGGAGACAAGAGAGCAGTGCATTTATTGATTTATTTACTGTATATTGCTGCTGATACACAGATTAAAATAAACATGCGATTTATTTCCCAGCTGT